AACAGGGAGACGGAGGGGGGGGGGGGGGGGAGAGAATCTAAGAAGGTGGATAGGGTTTTGTTAGAGGGGAGAAGGAAGGGCATCTGAGTTCCTGCAGGAAAGAGGGGTGAGTGGAAGCTTTACACAAGCAGCTAACAGCAAAGAGCAATTTAAAACAGGTTGTCTGCGTGCCTTTGACTTATTGTCACACTTGTATGATCAGGAGCATTGATCTTTTACTCCAGGGTGCACCTCATGCACTTCTTTAATTGTATAACTTCTACCATCTTCCAAACGAGCGGCCTTGTGAAACCCGCAGCCATGTACTCGTGCAGAGTACAGATTAACTTTACCCTGTGCTAACCACTTACTTGGGACTTGCTGTCCAGGCTGTTGCCACGTCTGGTAGGTGCTGCTCCAACCCTGTGTCATGAATGCCTGAGGACCACTGTGGATTATAACATCATACATTGGAGCAGATGGACAGAACATGTTCTTAAGAGACTATGCACAAAACCAATAACAGCATCAAAATGATTATTGGGAATCAGCAGCTGCTAAGGCATGATTTGATATAAAAAGAGGGGGAACTCCTGAACAGTTCCACACTGAAGTAAGTGTGAAGGTCTGGCTTAAGTTACTGTAAAGAGAGCTGAATGAGGCTCCATCAAACCTCACTCAGCCTTGAGGCCAATGGTATCTATTGCTAGTTGAAGTTTCTTTCCACAGCCTTGCTGCATTGGCGGTGGGCATTCTGAGATGGGGGAGGAACTGGCAGCCCCAATTAGGAGCTGGGTTTCCAAGATTCATCTCATAGACTCATAGACTTTAAGGTCAGAAGGGACCATATCAAATCTCACTCATCCTTGGATTCTGAGCCTTCAGTCAGACTGGCTACATGTTTCCACTTATTCTTTAGCCTTCATCCCTCCATTTAAAAATGCTCCTACATCGCATTCCAAAGTACATTGTGGAAACTTACTTTTGATGAGGTGTAGCAGGTGCTTGGTTGAAAGGATTTTGACCAAAGCCACCAGGTCCACCCATGCTGGTACCCTGTCACAGAATCCACAAACACAAGGGCTTAATTACTTCCATCATAAAATAAATACAAAAAACCAGTGACTCTGTTTAGAACAAACCAGGTGTATGAAAGAGGAGCAGGCAGCACAAGCCACACCATGCAACTCCCGGTACTACAAGAGTCACCAATTATTAAATTCCCAGAAGCGGCTTAGTGAATGGGGAGCCCAATTCTGAAAATAGCCGAGGCACCCAGGAGCCTAAGTGTCTCACTGAAAGTCAATAGGACTTAAGCATCTATGAAAGATATACCCAAAAGTCACTATATGTACTCCAAGGCCAAACATTCTTATCAAGGGGTCCAGTATAAGGGCTATTTTTCAGTTTTACAAAGTCTCACTGAAATCTTTTTTCACCCAAATGTCACCTAACTAGTTCTTTGACTTGGTTCCATTATGCAGCAACACCCATGGATTTATAACAGGTAAGTTAAGAACCCCCTTGGAGCTGCTACTGTACCAGCAGTCTGTAGTATCACAGAGATCCTGCCATCCTCTTTGTGCACTTCTGTGATCCCCAAGTAGCAACGTAACTCGGATTTGGAGAGAGGTCTGATTTTAGACACCCTTTTGGTACCCTACAAAGTCTCTTCTGGCCAAGCTTTAGATCTTTCATCCCTCTTACACAAAAGCAGCAGACCAGACTGGATTACTGAAACAGGCTCGTGACAGAAACATCCCAGGCTACAGTAAGGCCATCCATATTAATCGAGATCTACGGAAGCACCTGTTCACAAGTTTCAGGCTATCTGCATACAAGAATGTTGTTTTGAAGCCAGACTATCAACAGAACAAAATACAGATATTTGTACCCCATCCTAGCCAAACCTTTATTAGTAAACATACTACAACCCCATCTGAAACAATGTCAGAAGCAATACCACAGGACACTTACACCAACTTTCTCATCTATGAGATGTCTAGCAAGCTCAATTTGTTGGGGGACTCCTCTTATGGTGAATATTCGTACGCTAGGGTCTGTATTGGGAGGTGGATTTCTTTGCAGCTCCACGTGGGCTCCTGATTGCTGGTTTATGCTTTTGATATTCTCTCCACCTGCAGAACAGGGAAATCAAGGCATAGAAGAGATAAGCATTTTATTATCTGAAAGGATATTTTGAGGATTATTGTGATTTCCAAAACTAATTTCTACAGCTAGAATAGATTCCGCCTCCCCCCCCATGCTCATGCCTGTCGTAAGCAGCAAAGGAAATACTAAAGTGAATATAGACACAATCCTTTGGCTCACACCCCTCTCCATTTATTTTTAAATGTGCCCAGAGACTCTCAGTCTTTGCTTGCTCCATACCAGATGTCTGTCTATCTCCTACTGGGTCAGCCAACGTCAATGTCTGAAGAAGAGCATGTATTGCAGTGTCATTGCACACTTTGCTGGGCAACTAACCAAATTCACTATTATTGGCACCTATTTTGTGAATAACTGGGATCAAATATAATTATTCTTCCTTCTAATTCACCACCAGCTAATCGGTACAAAACCAGAAATTGTTTCTCGGGGGAGAGGGGAGGGAGGAAGAGACGGATACATGGTTATTCTTCCTGACTTTAGGCTACATGTTCACTGCCTATATCTTGAGCTCACTGTAAAACACACCTTTTTTAGCAGTGATGGCAAGGCCTGGTAGTTTTCCTATGGTTATGCAATGTTCGATAGGTGCATTCCTTAAAACTGTACCAGCTTCTTCAGCCACTTCCCAACTTGAAATGCAGCACAAATGGCTGCCCACACTTCTGGAACAACACAGGGTTCACATTCACCAGCTTATCACTTCACAGCTAGAGTTCAGGCTTGTATACATGAGGAAATTAACCACAATAGCTACTCTGAACAGCTCCCCATGTGGACACTTATTACAGACTGTCCACCTGCAGAATTATACAGGCTTTGAATTCAAAGTCTACCTGAAATAACTTTCAAGTGTAGACATGTCCTTTGGTGCATCTTTGGCAATAAAAGTGATGAGCGAGATTAATAAAACTAGGACTTTGCAGCTTAGAAAGAGACAACTAAGAGGAGATATGATAGAGGTGTATAAAATGACGACCAGTGTGGAAAGAGTAGATAAGGAAAAAGGTATTTACTTGCTCTCATAACACAAGAACTAGGGGTCACCAAATGAAGTTAATAGGTAGCAGGTTTAAAAACAAAAGGAAGTTTTTCTTCACACAATGTAGAGTCAAGGTGTGGAACTCCTTGCCAGAGGATGTTGTGAAGGCTAGGACTTTAACAGGGTTCAAAAAAAAACTAGATTGATTCATGGAGATCAGGTCCATCAATGGCTATTAGCCAGGATGGGTAGGAATGGTGCCTATGGCATCGGAAGCAGGGAATGGGTGAGAGGGTAGGGCAGGTGTGGGCAAGAGGTGGCAAGGGGGCCAGATCTGACCCACCAGCTGCTGGCCCTGGCCCGTGACCACCTCGCTGGTACTCTTACTACAGAGCAGCTCATGACACTTTAAAGAGCTAGCTGCTAATTGCTCTGGATGCTGGGGACAGTTGGGATAGCTTCATGCCCTGTCCCCGCCCCCAGCAAAACCTTAGCTCCCATTGGCCAGTTTCCGGCCAACAGGAGCTGAGAAATTTTGCTGGCGGCAGGAACAGTGAACAAAGTCTCCTTCTTCTCTCACTCCTTCCTTCCCTGTGCTGGTGCAGAGCCATGTGGAACAGCCAGCTCAACAGACAGGTATGGAGCCTCTCTCAGGCTCCTGCAGGGCTGCTGGTTAGGAGCTGCCTAGTAAGCACCTCCCAGCTAGAGCCTGCCTCTGGCACTCCACCTCCTCTCTCCCTGCAACTTCCTGCCCCAGGCCACCACCTCATCCTGCTCCAAGTCACCATCCAAACCTTCTGCATCCCCTCTCCCCAACTCCTCCAGGTCACAACTCCCTCCCAGATCCTGCACTTCCTTCTACACCCGTTTCCCCAGGCCAGAATCCCCTCCTGCACCCATAACCCTCCCCTCCGAACTCCTGTGCCCCAAGCACCCATATCCCCCACTCCTGGACTCTGTCCCCCAAACTCCTGTCCCAAGTCATAACCCCCCCTTCACCCAAATTCCCTCTCCGATCCCACACTACCTCCTGCACCCCAGTCCTCTATTCCAAGCTCTCTTCTACACCCCACCTGCTGTCCCAGACCTCACGCCCTCTCCATATAAGTGTGGTCCTTGACCACTTAGCAAAATCTTGGAGTGCCCCCTCATTAAAAATTATTGCCCACCCACAGGGTATGAATCGCTTGATGGTTACCTGTTCTGTTTACTCTGAGGCACCTGGCATTGGCCACTGTCAGAAGACGGAATACTGGGCTGGATGGACCTTTGGTCTGACCCAGTATGGCCGTTCTAATGTTAACAATGAACCAGCTCTCTCAAACAAGTGCACAGAAGTATTCTTAGGCAGGGTGGAGTGGGGCTAATGAAATCTGGTTTGACTTCATGAAAAAACTTGCTGAGGTCTCGGCGTCTTAATGACATTTGCTTAACAAAAACTTCAGCCAATGTTACAATGGTTCGATTCTTCTTTTGGAATTTCACAGAACTTTCAGATCAACCCCACTCAACTGAGAAAAGGGGGCAGGGAGAAGTTTTTGGCTCTGATTCCTGCAAACCTAGATAAGGTCACTAGCTGAAGTACACACTGCAAGGGACAGAAAAGGAAACTAAGCAGCAGTGGAGCAAAAAAGTTGATTAAAGTGTATCCATAAGTAGCTTCCCTCATTTTGCCAGCCTTCCTAAACCTAGCCCTGAAAACAACTTCAAGACAAAGTGTGGACATGGAGTACATTTGTTTTATTATAAAACTCCTGAGCTTTTCAACATTCTATACTCCCCTTTTGTGGGAAGAAGAGTCACCCTGAGGCAATTAACTCTTTCAAGATGCAGTTTGGGGGATTAGACAAGTTTTTATGCCATGTCTTTCTGAAAACAAAACAGATTACCCTGTGCAGTCTAATAGGAAACCATCCATTTCACAGCTGTGATTTGGAAAGTTGAGAGGAATTTTAAACAAAACTCTTGTTTCATTTAACATGGTGGGATATGTGCAAAGCAGACTCTTAAATCAGCTGAAAGTTTTGGGGTCTGCTTATGCCCTCACTAAGATGCCATATGGAATGGAAGAAAGTTTTACATGTTTAGCCTACACAGAACGGAAGAGAAGTTGGCATCAGTGACAGATGCCAATGTGAAAATTAAAGCAAAGCTGCTTGCAACCTTTTCTCCTGAACTCTAAATATCTTCCCTTCTGACTTGCTATCCTGGCCATGTAATCCATGTAAATGACCACGCTGTATTTAGTGTCAATTTTTTCCATAATTAGCATTTCACATTTAATTATGCAAATTACCAAGAGCAGAAATGTTTAGGGGAAGTTAATTGTGGATTTGTTTCCCACCAGCTTATTTTACTGTACCAGTGAAGTGAGTTACTTCTTAGCTTGGTCTCAAAAGGTTGAATGTTTGTTCCTCTAAACACTGCACATCCTTGGCTATTAGTTCTTTATCCTGCCCCCACCCTCTAACACATCAAAAGTTACTCTCCGTCCTCCACATTTGAGATATCTTCTCACTGTGCCTTTGGAGCACACAAATAAGATGAACCAGCCAACATGATGCTGCACAGTGTCGGAAGGAGTTTACCTTCCTTCATAATGAGGTCACCCGCTTGGCACATGGTGACTGTCTATAGACTTGGTTTGGCAGCTTGCTCCATTCTTCTACCTAATGGGGGGCAGAAATGATCCAGGAGTGGCCCCCCAGCTGGACGTGAAATCGTAAAGCAATTAATCAAACCTGCTAAAAGGCTGAGCTGACAAGAGCCGGGCGGGCCACATTATCTGTCAATATTGCTGTATTTATCATGGAAATCCAGCGGGGCCCCTCAGAGGCTGCAGTTTGTTTCCAGGCACCAGGCACATAGAAAAAGCACTTGACATTTGTATGGCTCTCCCCTCCACCCTTCAAGTCGTTCAGACAAGAAAAGCTGCACCTACCCATTTCTAGAGGGAGAAAGTAGAAACTTGCAGTGAGCCTTAGCATTTCTTTATCAAGCTACAGAGTGCCAGGCTGATCAACCATGCCCATGTGGAAGAGAGACAGAGGTCAGTTACCGTACATACTATAGACACAAAGCTTGTAACAATTTGGCCTGACTTCCTCTTCCTCCTCTGACCCCATCAAGGACAGTTTGTAAGGTAACAAGGAATACTGCAGTTACTAACATCTACTCTTTTGTGGATATGATGCTCATGCATTCATCAGGGTTGGCTCCTGGAGGAGGATGGTCCAGAGAGGAGGGACTAGCTTGGAACTTGGGTTCAGGTACTTGTTCTGCCACAGACTTTCTGTATGACCTTGGGCAAGCCACTTGGGAATCTGAAGCACAACGAGGCTAACAGTACTGTGGTGTCAACAACATTGCCCTAGCGCACAAGGGTGAGGATAAACATATTCAAGATTATGAGGCCAGATAAGTACCTTTAAAAAGTCAAGATTACATGAACTTCATAGTCTGCAACATAAAAGGTCCAATTCTAAAAGCAGCCTATTTTTAGATTCATTAAGGGTTTTTTTTGTGTTTTGTTTTGTTTTTTTTTTTTACAAGTACCTCTCTGTTCCAAGTTATTTAATTCTAAACACACTGTCACACCAGGAATACATAAGGATTACTTTACCCCAGCTGGTGCTGCTGTATTGACATATCTTTTTCACTTGTACATTAAAAAACGAGTTAGTAAGAAAAAAGCCAAGACCCTCCACTGACACTAGGAAAGGGAGCTATATTTCCCAGTCATCCTTCACATCGGTCTTCTGACTGTTGCAAATGTTTGAAGAAGATGGTTAAAATATTATGAGATGATTTAAATGATTTATTCTGGGTCAGATGCAGTAGTAGAATCTCATTCACGTAGAAATTTTCAATTAAAGCGCAAACTTTGGGAATCTGCTCTTAATTTCTCTGTGGAAGTAGCACCTAGCGTTTTACTGGCTGACTCATCCAGAAATTTAGCGTCAATACTCCAAGTCCCACACGGCTAAACTCCATATATCCCCAGGCCTAAGTGTTTTAGAATAGAAGATTCCTACTTGGTCATCTACAGGAAAGAGTATTAACCGTGGAAAGAACCACCCTTCTTAGTACTGACATCCTGATGATGAAAGAGCAACAAATGCAGAAATAATGAGAGTGCGGGAAGAAAACTGACTAACATAGAAGGCTCTGAAAATTTGTGTCATTCATTTCTCATCTAAGATTCCCAGGAAACAAAGTTACAGCCATCAACAGCAAATGAATACAAACAGATAAAAACGAACAAACAGTACAAGTGTAAATACCCCATCATTACTGATAAGTAAATATTACACAACTTCAAGTGTTCAAAGCAGTGTACAAGCATCAATTATCAATACTCTGAAAGCCTAGGGTAAGTGGTCCCATTTTACTGATCAGGAAACAAAGGTACAATGGCATAACGATGTCAGTAACAGAGAAGTAGCAGAAAATTCACTATCCAGCAACAAAGAGGGAATCCACTCTGACTTAATTTACATTAACGCTGGGGACACTAAAAGCCTAATTGTGACTATACAAATGCTCACATTAAGCACAGATCATTCTTTTCTAAAGAGTATGGAGAAATTAAATACAATCTTGTTACTGCTGTAGTTAAAAATAAAAAACTAGATGCCAACATTAACTCAGGTCCATTGCACCAGTGCAATATTTCTCTTCCAGTTTTTTTCAATACAATATATTTACATTATGAAGCGTGCACCATAAAGGCGCACACAGTCAAGTTACAATTGCTATTGGAGCCTTAGCCTTCCCACTGGCGATTGTTGTTTGAATGAGGCACAACTGTTCTAAAAAGGGAACACAAATGTTTGCATGACTTTCCATTTGTTTGGTAAACTTGAGTTCAATGAGTAGGACATCAATGTTCCTCTAGCTAGAGAAAACTACTGACTCTAGGCAAATTAAGGAGCCCGTAAGCATTCATGGGACATCTGCCCAGTCTATTACGCACCAGCAGATGATATTCAGTGGGTAGATTAGATCTTGCTGCTTCCAGAAAGACGTTAAACTTATAGGTGACTATATAAACTTGGCTACATGTAATCTCCATGTACAAGGAGATACAACATTTGCACCAACAAGAAATACTGGGCAACAGAGTGCAAGCTAAATGCAATACAAAAGGTACCACTCCAGAAATGGATCTATTTGGTCTGTCCCTCAGGAAACTTGCACTTTAAATCGCTCTGCTAGAAAGGGTCCTCAAAAGGAACTAAGTCTTTTCACGAGACAGCTGTTTTGTATAACATGTACACCTGACCCAATAACAGAGTATGATTTCTCTGCATGCAGAAACTCCCTCTCTCATAAATAAATGCCTAGAAAGCACATTTGAGACACAAAATAAGGCATCAGAAGGAAACATGCCTTAGTAGGTTGCTATGCTTACTAGTTACAACATGGGAAGAATGATCATGGCACAATTTTAAAATACCGAAAATACCACAGCCACCCCAGTAAAGTTTAGGAGCCCCCATTCAGAACCATCTGAAACAGATTAAAATTTCATGGAGCATCTTATCAGTAACACGTACCTTTGCCTATAACAAGGCCACACTTATCAGCTGGCACCGTATAGGTTATTTCCTGCATGCCGCCAGGTGTCCCAACACTCCAGTCCCCACGACCACGACCTCTTCCCCGGGCTACTGCCAAACTTCCAAAGCCATCTCGTTCCTTAAAGGAAAAAGCAGTATTTCCATCAATTTTTTTTTGGACCCTGACTCCCCAACATGTATTTCTAATTTGCCACATTACAAAAACAAATAGAGTTTAAAACTGCATGACATAATCAATACTAAACTAAGGAATTCCTGGCCTTCATTTTAGTATATGAGATTCTGAAGCAGTTCAGAGAAGTGAAGTTAACGAAGGTCACAGAGGCCTTCCTGATTAGGTAGGTTGATTTTAGCAAGTATATATAAATGCATGCCTTCAAACACATAATATCCTTCTGTGACCAGCAGGTATGCATAAAACTCAAAGTCCTTTTAATTAATGTGCTCCAATCTGAACAGGGCTAGTTACCTAGCTTTCTTTAGAGTAAGTCAGAAACCTTAGCATTAATGCACACTGTTTGGCACCAAAAGCTTCATGGAAGCCAAAAGTTAACCCTTTCAAACACCAATTACATTAGTAACCACTGAAATCCCTCAGCTGCAATACGCAATGCTCCAAACCAATCTGAACCTCCAAACAACAGTCAAAATTCAAAGAAGTTTTAGGACAGTATAAAAGAATCCAGATGTTTTTATCTCCAATGTAAAGGCCCTCTGCAGTTATTGGCCAATGTCACAGAAGGTTCAAAGAGAAAGTGGCTGAGGAAAAGGTTTCCCTTAGTACGTAAAGAGGTTTTTAAATCATAGGGAAGAGCCACAAAAGACTTTTCTCCCCCACGCCTTACAGAAAGAGCAATGGGCCTTTTCAGAATAGAATAAGGATGGGTAAACCAGTGTGTAAACCCATAGCTAGAACCTATAGAAGAGATCTAGAGAAAGGAGCTCTGCCTATGCCGTTCATGTGCTGTCTTTCTGAGCATTTCTCACCCTTATCAAGTACTGTGATAGAAGCAAGGTTTTCCATATTAACCTTACCCCTCAACACCATACTTCCCCCTAATTGGGATAGAGAAACACTGATTTTTTTGAAAACGTGAAAGTTGGATTTTAATGGCTATTTACTCTAAGATTTTCTTTTTAAAAATAAACCTGATTTAAAATGAAATCTGAATTTAAATGAAGGATTAAAGCCTAAAATTATAATTTCTTAAAATATGTAAATAGAAAATAAATATGCTGAATCCACAAGCCTAATCAGAAACTTAATTCAAGGTTGTTTTTCTATCAGAAAACAACTAGAGGAAAAACCATCTAACTTGAGATCAAAATTTATATAAATACAGCCCACAGGCCACATGCTATACCCTGACCCTCTGGGGAGGGAACAGAGGCTATGCAACTGGTTTTGCTTTGTCACAGACAACCCTGCAAGATGAGAAGAAATTGAGAGGATAATGACATGAACTAGGGATATTAAAATGCTTTTATTTTGGTACTTACTGGCTCCTGAACTGCTCCTCCATGCTGCTGCCTCTGACACAAAGGCAGCAGGGGGGGAGGGGGGAAGAAGGGGGAAGAGGAAGGGGAACGCCCTGCTTGTAACCATGTAGGTTAACCAATGAGCTGTGGCTCATTGGTTAACCATTTACGCTATCACATTCCTAACACGAACTTGACACTTATAATGAACATTCCTCCTAATTTTTTCCATCCATACATGGGATAATTTTTTATGTGCACCACAGCATGTGCACCACCAACAGAAACAAAACCTAGCTTTGGTGCTCTGCTAATTAGCTGAGTAGGATTGGAACCTCTCCTGACTAGCCGCACAAGTGCCTGGCTTACAGAGAACACCGCTTATCATGTATAGGTGCAATACTTGTTTGGACGCAGCATTCATTTGAAGACTTTAGTATAGTTCGGGGAATAAAGGAAAATCTAGCGGAAACTGCAAAATATTTTTGTAACAACCATCTTGCTTCAGCATCACTGAAGATAGGAGGATCCAAACTAACTCTCCCCTGAGATGAACAATGGAATTCAGGGCTTTCTGAAAAGAGAACAAAGTTGCCTACTCAACCTCTGTTCCGTCTTAGAGGGCCTTCAGTCATACCACCATGTCTACTATGTACTTCTCATAACTACATTGCCCATTCTCTCTTAATATAGGTGTTTGCCTCACTGGAGTCTACAGACCCACCTGTGCCGTGAGAATCAGTTCATTGATGATATGAGCTGCATGCTGACACCGATCAGGAAGGCCCATGACCTGTGCGACTCTTTCAGGACTAATCCCATCATCTGTGGAGTGAGAGTAACAAAACTTAATTAAAGAGAGAAAAATGCCCACCCGTCAAATGAAGTTTCCCTTCCATAAGGTCACAGCCAGTGTTTTCCCATAAGCAGATCAGTTGCATTAGACCCGTCATCTGTTGTCTTTACCTTTTGCCCTTCCCAACTCACCTATCAAGCCCTGCTGTTCATCTTAAAGAAGCTAAAAGAAGCCTGAAAGACTGCTATAGTCTACAGTACTCTGATCCAGAGGAACTGTGAATTCATCAAGTTCTGATCCCTAAAGACCAGGTACATCTTAAGTAGAGTTTTTTGAAGCCAGGAAACAAGATTTTCCATAATACAATTAGCTACAAGGCCAAGACACTGTGGCCATAGCGTCTAATCTTTTGCAAATTTCTTTCCAATCTCACAGGCCACAAGCAGAAAATCTCTAAAAACTGCACGACGAACCAAGGAACTTGTATGCCATATCTAAATTAATGATAGAATGGAACACTAAAGCTACAGCTACACTAGGAACCTTACAGCAGCACAGCTATACAGCAGAACAGCTGTGCTGTTGTAAGGGCTCCTGTGCAGCTGCTCTTTGCTGGCAGGAGAGAGCCCTCCTGTAGGCAAAATAAAACCACTCAATAAGTGGTAATAGCTTTGTGGGCAGGAGAGCATCTTCCACCAACAAAGTGCTGTCCACACAGGTACCATGAGGAAAACTTTTGGTTGGTTGGCACGTACATTTTTCCACACACTAACAGACAGAAGGGTAGTACAGTGCCTAAGTAATTCCAAGGAGACAGAAAACTAAGCTGTTGTAGACTAGCTCTAGGCAATAAATGTTGGCAGTCCGTTTGGCACAATTCTCACACAAACCTGGTTTAAACTGAATCCTAACGCCAGCATCGTTCTGAATTTTTTTGATCATTTCTCCATTTCTTCCTATTACAATTCCAACAGCAAACCTGGGCACAGAGACCTGATGGGAAAGGCAAAGCAGTGTGAAAATTTAGACTGTTTTACTCACATACTATGCCAGGTTAAGTGAAGCAGTTCTAGGCTGTAATGTCTCACCCCTCTGAAGCACAAGTGTATGGGCAATATCCGTGCATTAAAATTACCACTAGCCATAAGCCCCTTCCCAATCAGAGCTATCCCTCTTCATCTCAAGAATGGCTTTTCCAAAACACAATTTTGGAGGAGATGGAAGTGCCACCCCAAATCCAAACAAATGCCCTCTTCTGGAGGATGGATGTCATATATTATAAGGCAGGGAGCATTATGAAGAAAATAAATCTCATTGGCAATGTTTGAAATTGAATGGTCTCCATTCCTCACCTACCGTGTGGGGAGGTAAACCATAAGCACTTGTGAAAAGAACATACCTCTATGCTGCCTCCTCCCATTCTAGAGCTGAAATCACTCCGTACGCCTCGGAAATCTGCCTGATCTTTCTCTCGGATGATCTCCAGTACCATTTCCCTTGCTTGCTGTGGGGAAAGAAACTATGGTTACCTTTAATTGAAGTCTATCCCCCTTCCCATCTTGGTGCTTGGAACCTTATTGATTAGAAGGCTTCTGGCAGAATAGCTTCTTCTATTATGCCAACAAATTCCTTCACTTGGAATTTTTTACCATTTTACTGAAAATTGTATTTTGTATTGCATTCTCCTTTCCTCATTACCAATTTGACAGCTTTTAGGAGGTAGATCCCCATGTACAAACATGGACACTTGTTTCTAAAATACAATCTTAACTGGGATTTAAGGAAATTCAAGACCCTTGCTACTGATCAGAACTCAAACCCAAAACATGCCATGGCAGAAGCTATGATGGCGTGTTAAGCAGCAAGTCCACAAGAAGATGGGGAGGAAAATACAGAAAAGAAAAAAGAAACATAAGCTACCTAAGGGTATGTCTACACTACCACCCTAGTTCGAACTAGGGTGGTTAATGTAGTCATACGAACTTGCAAATGAAGCCCGGGATTTGAATTTCCCGGGCTTCATTTGCATGTTGCCGGGCGCCGCCATTTTTAAATGTCCGCTAGTGCGGACTCCGTGCCCGCAGCTACACGCGGCACGAACTAGGTAGTTCGGACTAAGCTTCCTATTCCGAACTATCTGTACGCCTCGTTCCACGTACAGGCCAAGCAAATGACATATACCAATATCAATACAATAATTCCTGATATTTGTCTGAGGTGATGTTCTCTATACCTAAGCATGGGCTATGTTTTGAGTTTTTCAGGTAATTAGAAGTTGAGGCAAGGCTGAGACATTTGGTGAACGGCAACAGTTTCTTTTATTGGATGTTCTGTTAATTTATTAATTTTCATGTTCACACACAAGATACATTTAGGCTCTGAAACACTTATGCTCATGAGTAGTCTCACTGGTTTACTGCAATACCAGTTAACTGTATCACTCAGTAATTTTTGCCTCCATTACACTGGTCTACAATTTTTTAGAAGTCGTCTGCTTCAGAGATAAAATGTGCTATTTATTATGTATTTTGATGTGCTGAATTCAAATATGACAATTAAAACAACTGATTGGCTACTGTTTCCAAGATATTTAAGTTTTTACATTTTACGTCTATGTATATTGTGTAGATAGTAGAGTTTTAATCATAAATTGTAAACCTAGGTCTTTTCATGTGTTTATGGTTGCTTTACATGATAATATTTCACCTGTCCTGTTTATGTAACACTTTAAAAATCAGCAAAAGGGTTATATAAATACAATTTATTATGAAACAAAAGACAAAAAACTATTATGTACATAGTTTAGTCCTATTCAGTGTCTACTCGGCGCTTCTTGGCTTGTCTCTTGTATTCATTAAATGGAGCATCTCTTGTCACTGTCCAGCAATAGTCTGCAAGCATTGATGGGCTCCATTTGCCCTGATAGCGTTTTTCCATTGTTGCAACGTCCTGGTGAAATCGCTCGCCGTGCTCGCTCACTGCTCCGCAGTTCGGTGGAAAAAAGTCTAGATGAGACTGCAAAAAATTTATCTTTAGTGACACATTGCAACCAAGGCTTTTGTATGCCTTGAGGAGGTTTTCCACCAACAACCTGTAGTTGTCTGCCTTCTTGTTTCCGAGAAAATGTATTGCCACT